CTACAACCACAGAGACACACGCACACACACACACACACACACGCACACACACACACACACACACACACACACATATCTAGACTTTACCACATTCTAACAAGGGGGAGCTCCGGTTCACACCAAATGGACAATAGGATCAAAAAGCTGTTGAATGTTGTACCTCTGTCCAGGGTGGAGCAGCCCAAGAAGATAAAATGTATTGTAAGAACTTAATTCGGGGTCAGTGGATGGAACTCCTGCGGGAGCTCTATCTCTCTGATCCCAGCACTGTAAGGCCTACCTGTGATCAGACATTCAGTAAACTTTCTGTTGATTTTAAACAGTCCTCTCCTGTCTTCACTTCTCGTGCTTCCAGCAAAAGAATCTGGTTATTTTCTAACAAAGCTGTAACCTTAGACCACTCAATCTACTCGACAACTGCATGTGGCCAGAAAGAATAATCAAAAGGTGTAATGCAGTTATTTAGCCTGACGGTGGTGCTGTATTCCACTCACAGTGAATGGGAAAGGGGTCCAGGTTAGTCTGCTGATTGATCAGCTCATGCCTGGACATGCAGGCAAAGACTGTGTTAACGTCCTCTTTGGCAGCAGCATACTGGAGGGTGGAAGAGGTGGTGGATAGGTCTGTGGCTGGATGCAGCTTCACACTGGAGGTGATCACAATGGCTGCAGAGGAACAGACAGGCAGATGACATCAACACACACATGCACACACAGCACAGTTAGTGCTGCAGGTGTTGCAGTTTTTCTCTTGTTTAGCTGTAAAACTAGATGAGATGGGTTTATTATATCTAACCAGACCAAACCAGATGGGAGGTTCCTAATCACAAGTCTGTTACCTATTGTTTTTACTGTCAGGGGCCTGTCAGTAGGATAGCACCAAACAAACCTTTACTGTCCAATCAAGGAGTTGGTTCAATTCAGATGACAAAAGTCTTGATGTGATATTATATTACTGCATGCCTCAATGACAGTAAATGATGTATTTCTGTTGTTTAACATGTTGTCATGGATAAATACAATACACTATGACAGATTTCGTTTTCACACTCCTGTCACTGGGAAAAAACCCTTGCTGGCCCCCTGGGGGAATCTATAACAGCAATTTGTGGTGCGACCGCTGGATAGTTTCTGGGTGCATCAGCGAACAACATGTGATACATTACCTTTCCCGTCGGCTACCAAAAGCTCTCCATTCTTTAACCATGTGATTGTAGCTGCAGGGTTTGCATCTGCTGCAACACATGTTCCCACCTGAACAAAACAGAGAAGGGAACAAAACATCAAACCATGTAAAACAGAAAACATGCAGATGCAGGAGGACTTAACATAGACATTTAATTAATTTAATCTGGTTTCATCCGTGTCCGCTGTCGATATGGAAATAATGAAATTTGATTATTTATCTAAACGCTATGAAACCATTTTATGCCCTTAACCTGAACTGAATGATGTTGCAACAAATCTTATACAAGAATACAGCATTATAATATTATCTTCCATTTTTAATGTGGATGGTAGTGTAAATAGAGTGTAGAAGCAATTTCTCCCTGTTAAATAAAAAATATCAGCACATATGCAGTAGCTGCTACTAGCAGCTTCACTGTCAAACCTATTCCAATGAAGTTCTAATTTCTCGGTTCCAACGATGTAATATCTGCTTTCCAACGTTAGCAATGTTGGATGTACGCCAGAAAAAAACAAACAACCATCCGATTCAGGAATGAATGAGCACACTGTTTCTCTGTCTTGTTGGTAACACCTTCAGGACTGAAGGTCAGCAAAGGTAGAAGAGATACTGTGTGTGTGAGTGAAACAGATAAGGAGGGAGTCACAAGAACATTCCTTCTCCCAAAGTGCCTGGGTTCATATCCTGTACACAGTGAGTAAAGACTCACAGCTATATGCCTGCCATCAACGCTTACCCTAACCATAACCTAAATCACATTCTAACCTGAACCCTAAAACCAAGTCTTAGGCCAGACAGTCATTTAGAGCTATGTCAGATAATGACCTGGCCAAAATGTCCACACACCCTGGTATGAAACACACTGGTCCTCATATAGCCATACAAGTACACACACACACACACACACACAGTCACCTTAGTGAGTGAACATAAGTCACTAATAATTTCACAAAGGAATGAACCCATCTGACTTGAAAAACTCTTTAAATACCACTTGGCAACAACACTGACAGATAATACTGATTTTCAAGAACAAAATTTGTTTAGTTTACAGTTTGTTCTTTCTTATGTATTAAGGATCTGGCATTATGCATTTGTTAATTTTCTGTACATGTTATTGTAATGCAGAGGACAGGACATTAACAGTACAGGGAAAACAAACCAAAGGGTAGAGGACACTAACAAAGACCAAAAGGATGCAAGGTGTATGGTGAGAGTACTGTTTCCTGTACACATGGTGGGTTTTTTTGTTTTTTGTATGGTTGTTTGTGTGGGTTCAAGTCTATTCAGTCTAAAAAAAGGGAAAAGGAGCAAGTAAT